TACTAAAATAGTTTCAATAAACTACTACTAATCTCACGCCCCCGCGTCGCTCCCCCACGCGGGCGACACGGGTGGCCGCGCTCTCCCAAACCCTAGCAGCCGCCCCTTCCCTCCCCTCCCCCAGCCACGCCGCCGCCGGAGCTGGTCGCTGGCATGGCCACGCGGCTCACCGGGATGGCGGTGGCGGAGCTCCTCCTCTCCTCGCGATTTGGTGGCGCAGGTGACAGCGAGCCAGCAGCTCTCCTCCCACACGCGCTGCGTGGAGCCCGGCGGGGGCATCCACCGCGGCTGTTGGCGGCGCCTGCTGGTGCCCGGCTGGTGCGTGGGGACGGCGGCGGATCCCCTTCTCCCTCGCCCGTCCCTTCCTCCAGTCTTGGCAGTGGCGGCAGCGTTGGCCCGGATCGGGTCCTGGGCGACTGGATCCGGTGTCCACGCGGCCGGATCTAGAGCTTCGGTACCTGGACCTGGCTCTCTCTCGGAGGGCGGGCGAGCGCGGTGGCTGGCCAAGGCGGAGGCGGCGGCGGCGGCGACAGCAATGGGTGTCGGCACCGGTGCTCTTCTGCCGGTTCTGATGCCTCTGGGCAGGGGGGCGGCGCCCACAGGGGTGGGGCGCGTGTCTGGTGGTGGCTGACGTCGGGTCGCAGCGTCAGCAGCACGTGCCAAGAGCCGGCGACAGCGGCTGGCTGTGGCGTTGGTCGTGCGGCGGTGTTTCGCGAGCAGCGGAGTCAGGTCCGGCTCCGCGTTGCCCGGCCGGAGGGGGTGACGGCCGACGCAGCTGTGCGGCTGCTGCGTGCAGCCGGCGCGTCGAGGCCCCTCTGAAGGGGTTACTGTGGAGCGGTAGGACAACGGTGAAGCCAGTGATGGATGGCAAGGGGCCTTGCTTCTTGGCCCGACGTTTGTGCGTGAGGATTCCTTGGGCGAAAGCCTAGCGACGGCGACACCTGTGGGTGCCGCTTTCCCTGTTGGGGGCGTCGTGTATCCCCTCTAGCACTATCATCCAAGGGTGAAAGCCCGGTCCACTTTGGACGTGCGATGGTGGCGCCATCGGCGTCGCTACCTTCCTGAAGGCGTCGCGTTTGGATTTCGTCGTGGCCTCGATGTCTCCTCGGTGATTGTTCTTCGCTTCTTGGCGCCTCGATGACGCGTGGAGGTGGGTCTTGCTGCGAGAAGTCGAAGCTGCTGCGTCAGGGACGTGGCTCGGCAACGATGACATGCGGCGAGCCCCCACCTTCATCGTTGGCTGGGGTCTGCTAGGGGTCGGCAAGCGCTGGAGGCGAGGCGTGTGGCCGTGATTGGAAGTCGGAGCTGCTCTTTACGGGGTGTTTGAGCTTGGCAACGATGACCGGTTGCGGCCGCTTGCTTCGGGCTCGTTGGTGGGTGGCTTGTGTGTGGGCTGCCATGAGAAGTCGGAGTTGCTGGCGTCTTCAGCCATGCTCGGCAACGATAACCCATGGTAGTGTGCCATGTTAGTACTCAGCTGCGTCGTGTGGGTTGGTTAGCCTATCGGGTGCTCTTTTTGACATCCCGTTGGCTAGCCATCTTGTACATAAATTCTTTCGTCTTAATTGAGTGGCAGAGCTCCTGCCTTTGTTTCAAAAAAAAAGTTTCAATATATATTTGGAAAGCTAAGTATAACAGCACATATACTCACCATTATATTGTTAAAAGACAGACACAACACTTTAAGACAAATTTGATGCAACATCTTTACTGAGCTCCTTCCTGACACATTGATTTGAGCCCGGGAGAAAGGCACCTAGTTAAAGCAACACGATACAATATGGCTGTGAGCGCTCGGATGGAGCTGTAAGAATCATGTGCGTAAAAAGGGGAAGGGTCAGCAAACCTGAAATCAATAGCTCACAGTTGCCTCTCCACCACTGCAAATTCTTTTGTTCTCCTCTGTGCTTCTTGTGAGATCTTCAGCTCTTGTATTCCCCTTCAAGCTTATTGGGAGAAGCTCATCACCCATACTACTTGTCAGCATATTTTCGGTGCCGAAGCAGTAAAGAATGCAAAATGTGGGTCAGAACCAGTAAAGCAACGTCATAAATCCATCCCTCAAAACTTGAACAACTGAAAGGCATGAGCTTACTTACTTAGGCCTTCTTACTTTTGTGCAGGATGTATGTTTCTAGCAGGACATTAGCACATAGATATTAGTTTACGACTGTACTGTACCTTCCAAGTTCTAACTATAACTAGAAGTAGCAATATTTGTTTTTGTATGTTCAGTAACTGCTAACATTTTGTATGCTCAGTTCTGTAACTAGCAGCAGTAACAACAATGTGATGTCATTTCTGGTTGTGTTGGGAACAAATTAAACATCGGTATCTTCACCGCTCTGCTGTGCCAACTGACAATTTCGACTTCTCTGGTTAAAAAGGACACCATTCACAAATGCATGATAGCAGGCTAGTCACTTGTTAGTCAGTAATGTGGTAGTAATACCAAGATAAGCGGAGTTTTCAGTGTTTATTTAGCGGCAGCTGCTCTGTGTAACATGCTGTTAAGCTAGCAGCACATTTCCCTTTACAATTTCCTGAATTTTTTTTAAACTAATTTTTTTTATCAAGTAAGCCACTGCATTTTATCACTTCCCTGCTTATAGTTGGTATGATATTAGCGTCAGGCAGCGCCTGCTCAACAGGGCACTGCATTTAAGGGCTACAGGTTTGCAACAGAGGAATGGACATGCCTCTCTAGATAACCTACGAGCAATCTTTTGCTGTGAATTGGCTACAATGCATTTCAAGGTATGAATAGATTGCTACAACACATACACCAAACATGCTTTTCTTTTTTTTTTAAAAAAAAACTGAAATAAAGCGGTGCCAGCGGTATAGTCTTACCGCCTGTGACCGGAAGGTCCCGGGTTCGAGTCGCGGTCTCCTCGCATTGCACATGCGAGAGTATGGCTTGCCACTGACACCCTTCTGCAGACCCCGCACAGAGCGGGAGCTCTCTGCTCTGGATACGTCATTTATATAGTAGAGCTTATGATTTCTGAAGCCATATCAGGGATGCCTAGCTAAGACTTGAGTTCAGTACTTTTGGGATGTCAGTATGTATGTAGTATGTAATTGGGTAAGACTTGGATGATCAGGGTTTCAGGAGTCCGCTGTCGCAGGAAAATCGAAGGGGAGAGGGAGGGAGAAGGATGGTGTTTGTACCTGTTGTCAGGCCGTCCGTTGAGAGGGAAGGGGAGGGGCGGCGGCGCGGCGCGGCGCGGCAACGGTAGCACTATCGCCGCCAGACCTCCTCCGACTTCAAGCGCGCGACGCTTGATCCTTCCACGAGACGGAAGAGGCCTCTTTTTTCTTTTTCTTTTTCTTTTTTCTGTATATATATGGCCTACTACTGCTAATTCTTTTACGACGACGGTTGGAAAGACCCCGGTCTTTCCCAAATCCGAGCCGAGAGAGACCTCTCTCCTTTACGTGACACATGGCATGTATAGTATAGCAAGCTCCAACTCCTTCCATGAGAGAAGTTTTATTTTACAAAGGGAGGAGACTGGTAGCGTACACTCTCCCTCCACGATCCAATTGCAACAACACAGATAGTCTACTGAATTCAGAATACAAATCTGTGAGAGATGCTACACTCTCTGAGGTGGCAGCAGAGAAGGGAATCGAACACAGAGCAATCTCTAGAAGGTTCCAGAAACACAGGTGGGTACGGTAGCTTGAGGTAGAGGAAGCAGAGATGCTAGAGGAGTGAGACAGAGTTGTGTCTCTGAATAATTCCTCGATGCCCATCTCAGTTGCTCTCCTCTACTCCTCTTGCGGTCAGTTCTAGGGACTTTTTTAGTTTTAATCCTTTTTTATTCAATATTTCAAAAATTGCTGATATGTCAGTTCTAGGAGCGATTATTATTGAAATATTGAATAAAAAAGATTAAAAAATATAAATTCTCCCCAGTTCTACAGGCAACAGCTACGCCACGGCCTACGGCCCATCTGATGGCCCTAGCATGCTAATCCATATATTCAGAACCTCTGTCTTCCTCTGGTCTGTCTCCTCCTCGTCCCCTGCTCCTCTTGCTGCTCCACCCCAATTTCATGCTAATCCAGCCTTTAAATTCCTCTCCAATCTCCACCGATATCTTGTACCCGGTGTTTTGGACACAACACACTATTATGTAGTTCTCCATTTGTTAAAAAAAACTGTCCTTTTTTTAAGCCCGATAATAAGCTCAATCTTTTTTTATGGAAAACCCATTATTTGATATTCTAAAGAAATCAGTTGCTACAAATTTGGACTACTCGGCCACATCTTGTCAGTAACTTTATCTGATGTACAAGCAGTCAAGCATGAGCCCAAAACTGCAGCTTGGTCATAGAAGAAAACATGGACCTGGGCACCTGGCAGAACTCCGGCTACATCTTATTCCATGTTTGCAAGAATGCAAATTGGGATGCCAGTTTTGTGGTCTCATTTCATTCAAATTACATGGAACCGCATTTGTAGGTACAGCCGCAAATGGAGAACCACAGGGCATAAGCAAGACCAGCTGAGAGATGACCCTTCAGTGGAAGTGGCTAGTTCAGGCAACCGAGCTGGGAGCAGCAAGTTCACTGAGGTATACTCTTCAAAGAGAAATTATGGACGCCTGCGGCAAGAAATGTACAAGAGGTGCAAATGCATGTGTGGCGTGGATATGACTGCTCTTCATGTCATGGGTTATTTTCCCCCATATGTGCATCTTTCTTAGAAATTAGAACAGATCGGCGAGTGCGGCTGTAAGCATTAATTTTGACGTCAAAGAAGTGCTGGACACCTCAAATGGACAAATCACTAGGTCTAAGTAGATGAATAATACATCATTAGTAGTCCTCCTATACCTACCATGAATTAGTAGCTACTTATGTAAAACTCTAACATTCTATAAGAGTGGTGTGAGCCAAAAAGCCTAAACCCCATCTGATATATCTGTAGTTCTATATATATATATACAAAAGAATGCAGTACTACTAACTATAAATCAAATGTGTCATCAGGCGCCTTGGATTCTGATTTCCATGTAGACCCGTTGATTTCTTTGAAAGAAGCTGGTGATCTGTTGCAGCACAGGGACCAAACCAATAGGCAGAGTAGCTGAAGCTGCGACGTGAGCATGACTCAGGGTCTTGTCATGCCTAGTGCTCTCCACGTCTCTTCTTTTCCTCAACTTTTCCAAGTCCATTACACGGTTGTCATGGCTGTAGCGAGGATTCTCCATGGTACTCAGACCAAGTTCTATCTCCAAATCCTTACACTTTCTGTTGTAATCTTTGGAAGCGTGATCGGCTTTCCGCTTCTGTCGCTGCTCATCTTCTTGGCTCTTCTTGAATTCATGCACGACTTTAGAGAACTGGTCGATTGCTCTCAGCACATCATTCTTGGAGACCATCTCGATTGCTTGGAACCAATCATTTGAGATGATGAATACAGGTGGTGCTAAAATCCTGCCTGGGGAGAAAGGAGGGGGCCCATCTGCTGTAACTTCCTCCTGCACCTCAGGGAGCCATTTCTTCAACCATTCATTCAGCGCCTCAGCGCAAGACCTTTGAGCTCACCCACTTGTTGAAGCAACGGTACCATTTCGTGAGCTCCCGTTCCAAATCCCGTGAGGCCTCCGCACCAGATTGGCTTACAGTCATCGCCTTGAGCCGATGAATTCTACTGTCTTGTATGGCTAATAGCTGCTTCTCGTGGCATTCCAGAACAGCTTTCCACAACCTTCTGAACCTGTAATAAATCATATCGATCAGATAAATTCAATCTTTTGAAGACAGAGACAATTTAAGGGAGTATATTCATACCTTTGGATGAGATCAACCAGTTGAGGGTAAAGCTCTTCATCTCGAATCTGCTGTATCTTTAACGAAAAGGCTTTAGCTGTACTCATGTTGATGCTGATCTTGGACTTAAGATGTCTTACAGATAACTGGACGGAGTGAATTGTACTTGATTCAGCACCTCGATCATCCATGGATTTGAGCCTTCTGTAATACTTCTCGTACTTCATCCGTAGCTTTTCTTCATCCTAGAACAACCACCTAACGATGTTCAACAGATATTTGGCAATAAATCAGACAAAATATGAAATAGCGCCTACATTTTCTTGTCCTATACACTAACACAACTACTTCAATTATAAATTTGTCGCTGAGAGGACAAGTGTGTACCTTAATTTCCTGATAGAGCTTCTTTTCCCAGAACCACAGCTTCTCTAGAGTTGATGAGAGATGGCCAATACCATTGCTACGGCCAGCACCTGACGAAGCTGAAGTGTTTGCCTTGCTGCTTGATGCTCTTGACTTCATGCCATGTGATTTCCGGAGGCAAGACGATGTCGACACAGTAAGGCCTAGCGGATCTATCACTCTGGAAGAGATATCTGCAAAAGATGGAAATGAATAGTTTTACATTATTGCACTAGCACATATAACAGAAGCATCAAAGCTAAAATCAATTTCAAGCATGGTTGCACTCAAATAAAGCAATGCATTACCCACATCTAAGAACTCTTGGGGTGTCGCGGGGAGGCATTTTCCCCACCTCCAGCAGCCTTGAGACATCTGTGCTGCAGTTTGCCGCCTCATCGAATAGCTCCTTGACCTCACCAATCGCCTCTCTGACATCCCTCGTCCCATGATGCAATGGCGAGAATGGCTCGCTGCTCGCCACCGACTGGATTGACTTGCCATGGCTCTCCCCACCTCCTTCTGCTGCTCTGATGGATTGCTCTGCTTCGAAGGCCACACCTTTCTTCTTCCCACTGGTGCTGCTGCCATCAGTGCCACTGCTAACTGTGCCCTTTAGGCTCACCGTGTTCTTCTTCCTCTCTTCTTTGCTTTTCGAGCTGGCATTGCTTGGCACGGAATCATTTCTAGACACTGGTTTCTCCCTCGCCTTCGGCATCAGCAGCCGGCTCCGATCCCTTCCTCTGTAACTTGCCATCAGGAGGTGGTTCTGATCCCTTCCTCTGCAGCTTGCCACCAGAAGAATCGCTGATTGAAGTGGCATCCCTGTGCAGCTTGCCCCCAGGAGAATCGCCCTTTGAGGTAGCATTCTTCTGCAGCTTGCTGTCACCAAAAAAATCGTCGTTCGAAGCGGCATTGTCTTGAATTGGTCCCTTCCCCTTGATGTCCTGATCAGAAACCCCGGAAGTCGATGGCTTGGATTTCTCCGCCTTCCTCTCTAACTCGGCCTCGTCCTCAAGCTCCGGGATCCCCTCCATCCTCCTCAGCTCGGCGTAGTTGGGGCTGTTGGTTGGCTGATTCCCGGCAGCGTAGTCTTCCATGAACTGGTCGTACTGTGCGAACGGGTCCAAGAATTCCCACGGCGAGGCCTCCGCTGTCGGGGGCGAAGGCGGCGGCCCAGGATGCCTCGGCGCCGCCTCCGGGGTCTCTCCGCAATTACCTCGCCGTAGGGCCCGTACGGGTACGCAGGCCCGTAGCTGTGGCCGTAGCCATTTCCGTAGGCGTGGCCGTACCCGTCGCCGTAGGCGTATCCGTAGCTGGCCTCGGCTGTTGTGTACTGGGTCTGGGCGTCGGGGTCCTCATACACCACGGTGGGCACGGTGGACGATCTCCTCATGAAGTGGTGGTGGTACCTCGTCGACGCCTCCTCGCTCCCGCCACCGCCGCCTCCATGTCTGGTGTCGTCAAGGTCATGGAGATGGAGGTCGTCGTCGGAGAGGGAGTGCGAGAGCGGCGAGACGGTGGACGACGAGGACGACGGCGACGGCGGGACGCTGGCGGACGCGGTAGCCGCGGCGACCGGCTTGGCGGGGGAAGGCGGGAGCGTGAGCACCGGCGAGGAGGACTCGGGCGTGGCGGGCGCGAGCGCGGACGCCGCGAAGCGCCGGAGCGCGTCGCCGACGGCGGCGAGCGAGCGGAAGTAGGCGGCGTGCGCCGCAGTGAGCGCGTACCGGCTGTCGGCCGCGGCGCGGATGAGCGCCACGCGCTCGCGGCACAGTGCAGCGGGGTCTCCTCCGGACGCGGACGCGCGGCGCGCCCTGGCCCGGGAGCTGGAGGAGGTGACCGCGGCGGCGAAGGCGTCGTGGGAGGTCGTGCAGCCCATTGCCGCGCGGGAGGGCGAAATCCTAGCTCCGGAGGTGGTGGAGGCGTACGGATACAGCGGGCTCCGGTCGCTCGTCGGCGTCCATTATATACAGGGTACGGACGGCGGCAGGGCGCGCTGCGCGCGTCTCCGACTCGGGGACGGGGACGGGGGGAAAGTATGGCGGCGCGCGGTGAGGCGGTGATGGAAAGCGGCGCCGGGATTGGGAAAGCGCGTAGAGAGAGGCGGCGCGGAAGGCGGAAGGCGGAAGGTGGGGCGGGGCGTGATGAGATGGAGGCGCAGGCGGAGGAGGCGGAGACGAGAATGGAACGAGTAGTCGTGCCTTTTGCCTTCGGTTTCGATTTCTTCTCTTTTTGCTATTTCGCCCTCTTCTTTCCTCTGATTTCGTATCTTAACCTTTGTGATTGCATTACATTACATTACATTTACATACAATTATACTCCGTAATAAAATTGGAGTTAAATTGGACCGTAACATGCTCCTTTTGCCATAGTTTTCACTTACTTTTTCAAATCACAGTACACAACGCTCACGTATATACATAGACAATCATAATATGGGAAATACTAGATATATCATAGATATTGAAATCCATTCATCACATCCTTTAAAATTGTAGCGGTTTCATGGTATTTTTTTTTCAAGAAACTACTTATGGCATGCCTTTTTAGGAATAATTGTGAAAAATATTATATACCCTACCAAAACCATGATGCGTATAACATATTTACTCCCTCCGTTCCAAAACAAGTGTCGGTCTCACTTCCCGAGGAGTGGAACGTTTAACTTTGACTAAATATTTAGAAGAAAATATTAATTTTTGTAGTCTATAATTAGTATCATTAAATAGATTGTTGAATCAATTTTTCATAATGAACAATACAAATGTTGTTTATATTTTCTGTAAACTTAGTGGAACTTAATAAACTTAGTACCATAGCAACACTTATTTTGGTACGGGTGGAGTATTTTATAATGCTGGAGGTTATACATAAAGTTTATAGCACAAGGTAGCACGTGGTTCTAGTGGTGTAGCCGTAGGTCTACTGAGCCAAGTGACAAGGTATAGCCGAGTGTATGCAATTCGCAATAATATTAGACAGCACAATCACTATAGTTCTAACCCATTGACCATATATAAATCCTAGAGTGGTCTATCCAACGTGCCACCTAGTACCTCTGTCCATAGGTCCTTACTTTATGAGAGCCACATCGCACTACACCTTGGTTGGGAAATTTCTCCTATATGCATAACAGCGTAAGTATATATACTGGCAAAATATGTAGTGCGAATATACAAACTTTCTCAAGAAAACATACATCTGTCTTTTGAAAGTTTTTGAAACGGTGCATATCCATAGTGCATCAATACATATATATATTTTGTCGCAAAAAGTTAAGATTCAAACTCTATAGAAAAAAAATCATACAAAAATAACAAAATCTAGGTGCAAGCGCACTACTCCCTCCGTCCCATTGAATATATCGTTTTTGACTTTTAGACTTCTTATTTGATCGTTCGTCTTCATTTTTTATGCAAATAATAAAATAAATAAACTATTATTAAAGTATCTCTAATGATAAAATAAGTTATAACAAAATAAATAATATTTATATAAAAATTTAAATAAAACGAACAGTCAAACAAAAAGTCTAAAAGTAAAAAACGACACTTTCAATAGGACGGAGGAGTACAAGTCAAATACTCAGTAAATTTGACTTCCAGTTCACATGCACTGCAGTTTTGTTAACTGCGAAAAACACCATTTGATTTCAAAGTAGCTCGATCTAATTCAAAATTTTCCCCTAATTGAGCACGCCACGCATATTCTTTTTACAAAATTAGCCAACTTGAGTCACGAGTATAAATAAAATCTTATTTTAACCTTTTGATTTCTATATTAAGGATACACTGACACTGAATCTCATGCCTTATCGAGCATCGTATCCCATCTTAAAGTTGGTTTATTCGCAGCAACAATTTTTGCATAGTTTTTTTTTTCTAGATTTTGAATATCAACTTTTGCAGCAGTGTGCATATTTGGATGTCATTTCAAACTTCTTGAAACGACGAAAGTATACTATTTAAAATGTTTGCATATCTACACTTACCTTTAGATTTACACTGCATATTTTGTCTATACTTTATTTGGTACATAGAAGGGAGAGATTGTATGAGCTGACAACACACCGTCATGCACAAAACGGAACGGAACGGGAGGAGAAGGAGCTCGAACGCGTATGCGGCGGGCATGGCATGCAAGCGGGGAATTCGACGGAGACGACAGTCTACAGGCCATGAACCATGGCATGGATCACCGCAACGCCAAGGCGTAACAGAGTCGCCGCAATGAAGAGGGGTCATCAAATTCAAAAGCCATGGAACTGGAGAGAAACAGAAACGCCGTGGTTTAATTTTGGCATAATTTGACAGCCTAGCAGCACAGCACCCTGGGCCTATTAAAATAGGACTATTGACTCTTACTAAAAATAGCACTAGCTCTAACTCCTCTACTTTATGCTGTCTAAAAAAATTAGCAAAAGTGGTTTTTCTAGTAATGATCTTGTAATTTCTGCCAAATTTATATCCACTCTCATTCTTAAACAGGAACTAAACAACAACCGAGTGTTTTACCTAGATTTCACACGCGATTTTGCAGCCGCTGGATCTGAGCGTAGAGTAGGGGCGCAGACGGCCGGATCTCCCCCTGCCGCTCCTGCCTTCTTCTTCCTCCCCCACTCCCGCGCCCGTGGTCTTCTTCCCCAGACTCGGTGGGCGGCTAGGATTCAATGAGCTCTCCCCTCTTCCTTCTCCAACTCGGCGGGTATATAAGGGCCCGGCCGGGAGAGGTAGGTAGGGCAAGCGGTGGGGATGGTGGTCAGGCGGTTTAGGGGAGCCAAGCGGTAGAAGTGGCGGCCGGCCAGGTCGGGCGGGGAGGCTCACGGAGTTGGAGAAGATGGTGGCGGTGGGGGGGAAGGAGGCGAGGCTGCCATGAGCACTAGGGTTCGCCGGCCGGCGAACCCTAGCGCCCGCGGCAGGGGGCGATGAGAAGGAGAAGGGCGGGGTGCTCGACGGCGAGGGAGGGAGCAACGGAGGAGGGGCGCGGATGGCCGGATCCACGAGGAGGAGGAGGAGGCCTGCCCGATCCGCCATGGCCTCCGCCGAAGAGCTTGGCAAGGGTGGGAGGGCGGGCGCGAGGAGGCGGGTGTGTGTGGGGAAGGAGTCTAGTGTGGGAGAGGGGAGGAACACTCGGTTTCTATATAGACAGACTCTTCTTAAAACAACGAGAACTAAGAAGGAGCAGGTTGAAGCCGCATTTTTAGAGTCTCTTTGGCATAAGAAGCAAAAAACACAGCTTCACCCCCACAAGCCTATAAAAAGGTGATGAACAGCCCCACAAGCCTATAAAAAGGTGATGAACAGCCCCACAAGCCTATAAAAAGGTGATGAACCTAGAGAAGCCACATTAGACTGCCTTCACTCCTATACATGACAAAACAACTTCGGGGCATTCTCCTGTCCCGATCATATTTCACATTGAGCTGTTTGGCGGGACTTCGCTTTAAGTCAAGAAAAAAAATGAAGCTAAAACCATTTAAAAATTCTGTCAAAGAGACTCTTAGTTTGTGCTTCACAAGGGAAAGACAGTTTCAGCTCTTTTGTTTGGTGTGCTCAAAACCTGCTCTTGATCAGGTCGTTTGGCGGAACCCGAGCAAAACCAAACAAACCCTTATAATGGAAAAACTTATAACCTGTTATGATGTATATAATGGATCATCATGTTAATGTTTGACTTGTCATTAAATGATTTTATTTCCGCTGAAACTCTGATAACATGGTTATTTTCTGCTGTTATAAACAATAAATATTATACTCTGATGTTGCATAGAAACTGATGTAAGAAACGACTTAAGAATGTTGTAAGCTTTATTCTCTCATATGTGACCCTGGTGTAAAAATGTGGATTTTCGGGTTCTCTCTTGGGGTGTGCTCGACGGAACTGCGTAATTTAGTGTCCTCCTTTGAGTACTTAGTGTCTAATGGAAGACAAGTACTCCTGAGAGACAGTAGATAAGACGGTTCTGCCACAACAAGAAGGAGAAGGGCGGGTGCTCGACGGCGAGAGAGGGAGCAACGGAGGAGGGGCGCGGATGGCCGGATACGCGAGGAGAAGGAGGAGGAGGCCTGCCCGATCCGCCATGGCCACCGTCGGAGAGCTTGGCGAGGGTGGGAGGGCGGGCACGACGAGGCGGGTGTGTGGGGAAGGAGTCGAGTGTGGGAGAGGGGAGGAACACTCGGTTTCTATATAGACAGACTCTTCTTAAAACAACAAGAATCAAGAAGGAGCAAGTTGAAGCCACATTTTTAGAGTCTCTTTGACATAAGAAGCAAAAAACACAGCTTCACCCCCACAAGCCTATAAAAAGGTGATGAACCTAGAGAAGCCACATTAGACTGCCTTCACTCCTATACATGACAAAACAACTTCGGGGCATTCTCCTGTCCCGATCTTATTTCACGTTGAGCTGTTTGGCGGGACTTCGCTTTAAGTCAAGAAAAAAAAATGAAGCTAAAACCATTTAAAACTCTGTCAAAGAGACTCTTAGTTTGTGCTTCACAAGGGAAAGACAGTTTCAGCTCTTTTGTTTGGGCTGCTCAAAACCTGCTCTTGATCAGGTCGTTCGGCGGAACCCGAGCAAAACCAAACAAACCCTTGGCCACGTTTAGTTGGTGCCTGATTCGGTGCCGCCCGAATTGGTGAAGGTACTGTAGCTACAGTATATTTGTTTTTATTTGGTAATAATTGTTTAAACATTGACTAATTAGACTCAAAACGTTCGTCTCGTAAAGTACAACTAAACTGTGCAATTAGTTTTTGATTTCGTCAACATTTAGTACTCTATGCATGTACCGCAAGTTTGATGTGATGGGAAATCTTCTTTTTACATAGTGCCAAAGTTAGGAATTTGGTGGAACTAAACAGGCCCCTTATAACAA